ATTTCTGTAGTCTCCCTCCCTACTTTGTCCGTTAGCTCTTGTATTTTTCTCTGCAGCTCCATCAGCATGGTTGTGACCTTTATTTTGAATTCTTTTTCAGGAAGATTGGTTAGGTCTGTCTCTCCAAGCTCCTTCTCAGAGGTTGTCTCTGTGGTTTTGGTCTGGTTCAGATTCTTCTGCCTTTTCATGGCGGTAGAGGTAGTTGTGGGGAGCTGGTGCGTGTGTCGGCTGGGAGAACGTCCCTTCTTGCTAGTTTATGGACTTCCTCTCCTGGGAGAACAGCGACCCGTAGCCCATGTGATTTTATATTAATGAAACCAAAAAAAAAAAAACTGGATGTGATAAAGAGCTCTGACACTTACTGGAGATGGCAGAACCTGGTGGGGATGACTGTCCCTGAGGGAGCGTTGTTCTTGGTCCTGCTCTGTTTTGTCAATCCAGGTTGGCTTTAATCACTACCGTGTGCTCAGTGTCCGGGTGGTGTCCTTTTGCTTTCAGGTAATCCTGTCTACCTTACTCTCCCTGCCCCTGCCTTGGGAATAAAGATTTTTAGGGCTCTGAGAGATCTGGGTTTTAGGAAAATATTTTGAGGGTAACTTCAAAGAGCTTCATTCTGGGAAGATTTGGAATGAAAACAAGGTTCAGAGATCTACTGAGAGGTGTTAAGGAGATTTCTCTTTATTGCCTTTGATGGCCATTGTTCATACTTAAACAGACCTTGAAAAGAGAATAAGAGAGAATTGACATTCTCAGTATGTCTTATGAGAAGTGAAAACTAAACATTTACTGGGCCTACAGTCCAAGACCGTTTTTCTATATACACCATTCTATTACTGTTTCATACTTCAATATCATCACTCTACCAAAATTCTGAGGATAATTCAGGATAAATAATAAGGTACACTCTTACTGCTATAACTGTGTTGTTTGTTAAGCTGAGCAGTCTCTCCATGTACTATTTAGGTAATAGCTATTTATTAGACAGAACCTAGATACCAAAAGACATACTTTCACCTCACTGGGTTATAAATTTTTGGGGGTGATAAGATATATAATATTTGGTAGTTATGAAAAGCAGTCATGACAGGTAGTGGAAAGAACAGACATGTGCTGGGTCTATTAGGTCTGTGACCTTAGACAAATAGCCTGAGTCCCGGTTTCCCCATTTGTGAAATGGGGATAATACCACATACTTTGTAGGGGTGGCTGCAAGAATCAAAAAAATTTAATGTATATAAAGTATCCAGGATGGTGCCCAGAACATAATGAATACCAAATAAATTGTAGTTGCTGTTATTGTTAGTTAAAGCCAAGCATAGAAGTAATATAACTTAAGCACATTAGAACCTATTTCAGTGATGTTGTCATTTCTTTAAGCATGCTTTTTGATGTTACCTTCTCTTGGTGGCAAATTTTTGTCTTTTAAGAGTGAACTTGATTTTTTTAAATGGCAAAAAGTAGGCAGACCTAGGTATCTTGGTGGTGGTGGTGTAACCTTAGGAATGAGATGTGATCATCATAGGATAATATGTCTGTGTCTGTCTGATAAAGTGGGTTTAGAGGTAATTCCCAGAGGCATTCCCAGTTTTTTTGTTTTTTGTTTTTTTTTTTTTAGCAATGAGACTATCAGAGATACATAACTTCCACAGATGAACCTAGTATACATATTTTGAAAATCATTCAATTTAGTCTGTACTACTAAGTGCTAGAAAAAGTGACATAGCCTACAGTGTTGTGGGAGAGCAAAGGAGAGGATCAGAATAGAGTGTATTGCTTTGGGAAAGCCTTGAGAAGATGGGGCTTGAATTGAACCTTAAAGAACAGGTAGGATTTGGCAATAAGGGAAGAAGGGTGGCATTTCCGAGTGTTGTGGGGGTGTCCCAGGAGCAAAGCATATATAATTTGTTTTATCCAGCAAATGATGATTGTATATTTAGCTGAGATGGGAACTCTGATGAATGGATACTGCTCTGACTTTTAAGAATATACTGTGTACTGGGAAAGAGGCACATATCATGAGTAATTACAATAAATACGGTGGCATGATAGAGAAAGAGTCAACAATGGGAGTGCAGAAGAGGGGTACCTAACCCAGCCTAGGAATCAAGAAGGAAGAAGGGAAGGTGAGATTAGGATGACTGATATTGTAGGTTACTGTGTAAGAAAGGAGGATAAATTGGGTGAGACCTGATCAGGGGAGAAGCTAAGGATTTGAAACTTTATGATGTAGGAAATGCGAAGCCCTTGGAAAAATTTGAGCAAGTGTTTTGGGGGAGATTAGTGAGTTTGTGGTGTGCAGAATGGATTGGAAGGGCAAAAGACTGGAAACAAGGAGAACATTGGGGAGGCTTTTTGCAGTAGAACAAGCTATATATGAGAAAGCCTGGAGTTTGAGCTGTGGAGAAAGGCATGGAAAAGCAGGAAAAACCACCAAGAATAGGTAGAGTTCTTGACTGAACTGTCATAAGAAATGGAAAAGTGTCATATATTTATTCTGAACCTTGGTATCTGGAAAGATGGTACTGTTAAAGAAATAGGGATGAGAGGAGGGTAAATAAGATATTTAACATGTAACCCAGAGGCTCACAGAGCCTGTTCTTTGGGAAAGTACCAAGGCGCTCTTTAGCCCATGTCTCTCCTTCTACCCCTCTCATCTCTACGTCCAAACCTAACTGCTTTGGATTTTCATTGCAGCTCCTCCACCACCACCACCCATGATCCGAAACGGTGCCAGGGATGCTCCTCCTCCCCCACCACCATACAGAATGCATGGCTCAGAACCCCTGAACCGAGGAAAGCCCCCGCCTCCGCCTTCGAGGACGCCAGCTGGGCCACCCCCTCCTCCTCCACCACCCCTAAGGAATGGCCACAGAGATTCTATTACCACTGTCAGGTCTTTCTTGGGTGAGTAGCAGTCCCTTTCAGCTCTAAAACTCTATTCTTTTAATGGGGTCAACTCTCCTCTGCCCCTGCTCTAGTCTCTTTCTGTTAGGTGGACTAGGGTATTTGCTTTGAAGATATCCTTTGGAATGTGATTGAAACCTGTAGAAAATTTGAGCCTTCTTGTAAAGGGGCCATGGAAAGTGGGGGCAGGGGCCATGAGATGGTTTTCCCAACTTTGTTGCAGAGCTAAATGAGGGTAGCCAGGGCCAAAAAGGAATTAACTGGTGAGATCCTCACTAGCTGGTCATTAATATTCCCATTTTAGGTTAATTTCTACCAGTTTGTGGCTTCAGTTCAGTTGGTTCTCCATGGTAATAGTCTCTAGGATAATTGTGCTGCTGAAACACAAAGCTTTATTTCTTTCTTTCTCTTCACATGCAAACAGCTGGGCTCCTTTCTTGTTATGCCTGATTTTTGGCAGAGAGATTTAAAGAATCTGTTCAAAAACTCATTCCTTGACATAAGAGCCTTTGAGCCCATGCTCTGTGCAGACAAGGCACATAGAGTGATGGTATTGCTGCCCTTGGGAACTTTGGCCTAGTGGGCAAGGCAGGCTGTCACCACACAGCAGAATGTACCTGAGACCAGTAAGGAAAGTGCCAGAAGTGGTACAGAGGTGTGCGTGGGAGTATGAGGAATGGTGATAGGAATTAATGCTCTATTCCTTTCACAGATGATTTTGAGTCAAAGTATTCTTTCCACCCAGTAGAAGACTTTCCTGCTCCAGAAGAATATAAACACTTCCAGAGAATATATCCCAGCAAAACAACCCGAGGTGAAAAGACCAATCATAAGTTTCTTCTTAATTGAATAGAATGTAGAATTGTGCTTTTCTTTGGTTAAAATTTGCTTTTCCTCATCTGCATTTTCTTAAAAACAAAACAAAAAAACAACAACAAGACCTAGTCCCCAAATTTTAAAGTTTAGCTTAAAAGCCTGACTCTCATTTCAGGAATCTTGGGTTATACAGGATCTGGTGGGTGACCTTGTGTGTGTGGTGTTTTTTGTTTTTTTTTTCAGCTGCCCGTGGAGCCCCACCTCTGCCACCTATTCTCAGGTGAAGCCTGGCTTGGTCCTGTTCCTCAGGAAAAGGATGGACCCTGTCCTCTTCTCAGATGGTCCCTTCCGTCGCCTGAAACCTGCATGAGAACTCCTAATGTGTTTCTCCAGTGCAACAGCCTCTAGACTCCAAGCATCCTCCCTGCTCACCTCCATCTGTGCATCTTTCTCTGGACTTAATGATTGGGCTCTTTATATTGGCAGTAGGGTCTCAGCCCCTACATCCATCCCTCCTCTAGCAAGCCCTACTAGCCAGATGAGGAAGAAGCTTCCATGTCTCCTGCTTTCCTCTGGGGGAAAGGTGCCTTGTGATGAACTAACTCATTGTTGGGGCAGGGTCGAGAATGATATTGCTACTTTCTCCCCACTGTGAGGGGAGCTTGGCCAGGTATATTTCCTTATTTAGAAGGTTGGCATGGCCAGGACTTCTGTGGGGGTGGTATTTTTAGTGAAACAGGAAAGGGGTTTGCAGAGAAGTGATCTGTTTTAAAGGTCAAATTTGGAGAAAGGGCAAGGAAATGGTCTGCTTTACTTTAAGGGGTATTTTGGTTTTGCTCTCACCCCAACTCATGTCCCTGCCCAAAAGATAAGTTGGATATAAACACTAAATACTAATCAGTTATACTAAGTGTCTAATAAAAAGAACAGGTGAAATAAACCGGGGATCCTTTTAGAGTTAGTCAGTTTCTCTGCACCAAAGGGACCAGGAGCCATTTATTCCTGTAAGGATTCCCTGCCCCTGCTTCTTCAGGGTGTTGAGGCCGAGAAATGTTTTTCCTCCCCCCACCACCCATTCCCTCCAGAGAAAAGTCACTTTTATTCATTCATTGCAGATTCACAAATTCCAAAAATCTCCAGTGGGAGATAGGAAGATAGGGCCTTGGCTTTGATACTATTCCCTTTTTTGTGATTCCAGTCTTTTCTGACTGGCCCTTTCAGCCCTATCCAGAAACTGTAGCCCCTGATGGGTGCTCTAGGATGACAAAGAAGGGAAAGGTGAAGCACCTCATGGAAGGGACCAGCTCTGTGGGCTAGGAAAGACTTCAAGGCCTGCTTGTTCCACAGTTCACAGCCCATTTGACTAGCAGGCTCTTCCTGTTCCTTTCTCAACCACTCTTGCCTTCCCAAGAGTACAGGGTTAACACAGCAGAGTAGAGAAGGGTGAGGAAGCTAATGGTATTCCTCTGTGCCAAGAAGCATGAAGACTTTGGTAAGGGGTGCCTCAGTCCCGTTGATCTTCCTTGGCAGCCACCAATATGCTATTTCTTCATTTTCCAGGTCCTGGTTTAAAGAGCACAAGGCAAATGGGAGTTCCCAATCTAGGTAGGAACTGAGCTTGGATGATGGGATAGGGACTTCCCCTTCTCCAGCAGCAGGTTGAGGCTCTTGAGCTCCACACACAGGAGGGTTTGGTTTGCTGTAGGTCTTGCCAACGCAGTGGCTGCTCAAAGCTTGGAATGAGAACACAGAGATCATGGCTGTTCTTGAAATGGATGAGGAAAGTCAGTTAAAATTTTTTGCCAGACTCATCAGAGGTTTAAACTGTCATAGGGACCTTTCCAATCTATTGGATCACAGACTGAGGATCTGTGCATCGTGCCTAGTGAAACCTGTCTTACCAGTGCTAGATGAGAGAGCTCTCATGGGGTTGTTTGTATGGGGTCTGCTGTCCTTTGCCATCCCCTGGACCATATTGACTGTTGGGACAACCCATATTTAGGTTTGTCACCAGACTTTCCCTAATCGTTATCATTCTTATTTTCAAATCTGTTAGCAATTATCTCCAGCAGTATCCCCAGCATCCTGAAGCCATTAGAGCTGGGAGAGGGGATGCTAGTGGAGGAAAAAGGAGAGTACAGGAGTTGATATTGCAGCAGAGTTCCAGGGTAGATGCTGACCAGTTACTGAACTTGGACTGTGAAGTCTTCCCATTTATTTTTGAAATGGGAGTTGATGCCTTTTGTGTAAATGATATCAAAGTGCATCTTTTTTTTTTGTCTTTTACTCAAACATAGAGCATCAAAGTAAGCATCAAGAGTAAAAACCAAACCCCAGCTTTTCACTGGAGCAGATATCTTCCTTGCCTATGTCCTGCTGCCCCTCATATTCTCCAGCGTTTGGACTGTTTCACATGGGTATTGATTATATTTTCATTTTGTTGGCCTCATGAAAAAAAAGGCCTGGGCCTAAATCTAGTCAGATGGATTTTCTTCTTCAGAGCATGTTGATGACACAGTACCTATTTAAATGTCTTTGCCTTATACATTATTTTGTCCCTTTGTTAATAACAGATTTATTATCATGTATATTACTATTGCAGAATGGGAATGTGATCCTCATAGTTATTGATCTATTTTGTATGTTGTAAAAAACACTTGTAATAATAGGTTTAAGGTGGGCTGGCTGCAAGAGCACTAAAACTTCTCACCTTTTAATCTGCTCTTTTTATCTGCTTGTGGGAATGTCGTCTCTTCAAGGAAGACTGGGTGGTCTCATGTTGAGGCTGTCCCCCAGTCCCATTAACCCCCATATCCCCTCCCAGAAGGAAGAGACATTGCCCAACTAAGCATCAGGAAGCTGTGTTAAAAGCCCTTGTGTGGGTTTGGTTTTATGTTTTTCTCTAGTGGGAAAAATTTAGTAATTTTTTTTTCACCCTTTCTGGGAAGCAGGGCAGTGGCCTCCAAGTTTTTAAATGAGCTGACTGCCCCTCTTCTCTCTCTTCTCTGGTAACCAAACCTGGATCAAAGTACTTTGATATTCCAGGTGTGGTTTTCTCCATCATGGGGATCGCCTCCAGCTGCAGAGCCCCCATCACTCTCATAACCTGGGCCTGCAGAGTAAGAGCACTTAGGGCTGCCCTGCCTGATGGATGGGAGGCTGCTGTCTCCAGAAGTTCATCCCACCCTGCTCGTCAGGCCACGGGGAGGCTAGCCATTGGCCTTTGCCCTGGGGCATCCCCTCACCCCAATAGCTTCCCAACTTGAAACCCAGATTTACCTCCAAGGAGAGGTGAGAAAAAATTGTAAATAGACTTGCTACAGAGCAACTCAGGCTTGGGGGGTGTATTTTAATTCTCCTGATCACTTGAAATAATCTGTAGGCTGAGTGCATATGGGAGTAGGGGAGAAATGTGACTCTAGGGTCCCTCCCTTATGCAACGCTCTCGGGGTGGAGTATAGGGCATCTGAGGCCCTTTGATGGCACTACACAGAGCTAGCTGTCCTTCTGGAAACCCAACCTACAATCAACTACAAATCAAATTCTTCACATTCCAGTTGTAGTCTTATCTTTCCCTATTGAAGAGTCCCTGGCTATGTGGTCAAGGTGGCTTTAATTAGGGAATAGGAGGCAGTGCAACTCTGCCGTCAAGAGTCATCTCTTAAAAGGAAAATGAAGCAAAACTACAACCACCTTCAAAACACAGACAAAAGAGAGTAACTGTTTAACTGAAGGAAGGATTTGGTTCCATTCAACTCCACGTTCATTGTGCCTTTACTTGTGTTAGATTTCTGTGCTTTCTTCCACTCTATTTGAAGCAATTAAAATCTTCCTTGATAACTACTGTTTACTTCTTTCTGTTCTTGTTTCTTAACACGTTATTGGGTTCCCTCTCTAATTGTCTTAAATCTCACTCCACTGGTGGAAGAGGAGCCAAGCCTTCTTTTCTCATGTCATACCTTTGTCCTTTTCCATGGTAACCAGGTTGGAAGTCATAGTCAACACTGAATAAAAGACTAGAGTGATGTGTGTGGAGAAAGTGTGTGTGTGTCCATATTCATCTCTGCATGTGGATCAGTTTCTTTTAAAACAATTATTGTATGATATATTTTGGAGTTAAATACTCTGATTGCAGTGCTTCCATCCCCAATTAGCATTGATTTTTTTTTCCACTCTTCAGTATATAATCTGGTCTCAAGTTGGATTCTTTGGTACATTTCTTTATTCTGGATGCCATACAGTTTAATCAAACCTTGCTTAAAAACAAAGCAAAACCATATACTCTTGTCTGGAATACTGCTTTGAGTGGTGGCATAGATAGGGATGTGTTGCCTAAGGTTAGTGTAGTGGATTGACTCCAGGTCCTCTGAGAAAGTAGTTATACTGACTTGGGTAAGAGCATCTGCAGCTTCCCCAGGGTTTTCTCTCCTCCCTACTGCCGTGTTTTGAAAATCACAGTTCTAGTTAGTCCTTCTGCCTGGGTGATTCTAATGAGTTGGTCGTTATATTTGCCACCTACCTCTCCCTTGCCCAGGACTTCAGGGAACCCAGGAGATGCTCTGGCCTTGTGTTCTTTTCTTACGGCCTTTAGGATTCTTTCTGTTGCCTAACAGATTCTCACACTGAGGCATGGAAGAAAAGGTGCAGGCAGAGCATACAGACCGTGTGCATCTATTTTTATGTGGGTGTTGTTGGCTTTTCTTCTTCACTGCTTTTTAAGTTGAAATCTTGGCGCCTTTCCTGAACTTTGACTTGAGGTGTAAAAATTGAACCAGATATTCTCAGCTTACTGTGGTCAGCTGACAATCACCACTGAGACTTAATGAGCTTAACTTGCACTTTCATCACTAGCAACAGTCTTGAAATTATTTTCCATGCTGATTCATAATGGGTGTGTTTATGAATCACTCTCACATAATTTAGATATAAAAACCTAAAAGGGTGCTAGGAGGGAGGGGGATTAAAAGGCTTTTCATTTTCATCCATACTTACCAGATTGACTGGATTCCTGGTTATTTGACCCATCGTTGTTATGATTAATAAAACTACCTATTTATTGATTTAATTGTTCCTCTTGTGACTTTAAATAGGCCTCAAATGGAGCTTGCCTAAATGACTGTCAGCTTCCTAACCCTATAAACTTTGTCCTATTGGAATGGTATTGCTGGTGTGTGTGTGCACGTGTGTGCTGTGTGCTCACTCAAAGGGATGCCAGACAGGTTCGTCCAGTGTGATTTGATTCCTTCTCTCATGAAACTATGTATGAATTAGGTGATAAGGACACTAGTTTGCCCAGTCTAAAAATTATTACTGAGACTCGGCTGCTTACTGTGAATGTGCTTGTTTAGTGTTTCCTGGCCCAACCCAACCACAAACTGCAACTCACTGCAAGGAACCTACCTGTCTCTAACTTCTATTACTCTGCATACAGAAGTAAGAGAAGTCAAATGTCAACCTCAGGAGCCTAACTAGCCCAGAGGATAACGGGAAATGCTTCACCTCTGACGTCACTGGAGCCCAGTCTGGATTGTCTTACGCAATTGAATTCATTCTCTTAGCAGGTGTGTGTGAGATTTAAAGGACTATATGCTATCTGGCCATAAAAAGTGTTCCTGAAAAAGGTGGATGTCCATTCGGCAGGAATTTTCTCTCCATTCATTCAGCAAGAATTTATTGTACATTTTACCCTGTGCCAAGCACTTACAATATGTAGATGAATAGGACATGGTGCCTGCAAGGAGCAAAAGAGTCTAGTAAACTTAAGGACAGCTACCAGAAGAAACCTATGTAGGGTATTAAATGGCCTTATGGTAATTAGCCAGGGAAGGAGGACGGTGAGCTGCATTCCAGCCAGAGGAAACAGCAAGGACAGAGGCACAAAAATAAGAAACAGTTTGGCAGTGAATGCATCATGTTACTGGAGTTTTGGAAAGGAGAAGCTTCAAGTAGGTAATCTCTTAAGAGACCTGTGATTCTCTGTCTGCTTCCACAGTGGTCATTTGCCCTGGGGCTTTTCTTGGACCTGTGCTGTATTTCCTGGTGAGTGTTTTTTGGATTGACTCCAGGTCCTCTGAGAAAGTAGTTATACTGACTTGGGTAAGAGCATCTGCAGCTTCCCCAGGGTTTTCTCTCCTCCCTACTGCCGTGTTTTGAAAATCACAGTTCTAGTTAGTCCTTCTGCCTGGGTGATTCTAATGAGTTGGTCGTTATATTTGCCACCTACCTCTCCCTTGCCCAGGACTTCAGGGAACCCAGGAGATGCTCTGGCCTTGTGTTCTTTTCTTACGGCCTTTAGGATTCTTTCTGTTGCCTAACAGATTCTCACACTGAGGCATGGAAGAAAAGGTGCAGGCAGAGCATACAGACCGTGTGCATCTATTTTTATGTGGGTGTTGTTGGCTTTTCTTCTTCACTGCTTTTTAAGTTGAAATCTTGGCGCCTTTCCTGAACTTTGACTTGAGGTGTAAAAATTGAACCAGATATTCTCAGCTTACTGTGGTCAGCTGACAATCACCACTGAGACTTAATGAGCTTAACTTGCACTTTCATCACTAGCAACAGTCTTGAAATTATTTTCCATGCTGATTCATAATGGGTGTGTTTATGAATCACTCTCACATAATTTAGATATAAAAACCTAAAAGGGTGCTAGGAGGGAGGGGGATTAAAAGGCTTTTCATTTTCATCCATACTTACCAGATTGACTGGATTCCTGGTTATTTGACCCATCGTTGTTATGATTAATAAAACTACCTATTTATTGATTTAATTGTTCCTCTTGTGACTTTAAATAGGCCTCAAATGGAGCTTGCCTAAATGACTGTCAGCTTCCTAACCCTATAAACTTTGTCCTATTGGAATGGTATTGCTGGTGTGTGTGTGCACGTGTGTGCTGTGTGCTCACTCAAAGGGATGCCAGACAGGTTCGTCCAGTGTGATTTGATTCCTTCTCTCATGAAACTATGTATGAATTAGGTGATAAGGACACTAGTTTGCCCAGTCTAAAAATTATTACTGAGACTCGGCTGCTTACTGTGAATGTGCTTGTTTAGTGTTTCCTGGCCCAACCCAACCACAAACTGCAACTCACTGCAAGGAACCTACCTGTCTCTAACTTCTATTACTCTGCATACAGAAGTAAGAGAAGTCAAATGTCAACCTCAGGAGCCTAACTAGCCCAGAGGATAACGGGAAATGCTTCACCTCTGACGTCACTGGAGCCCAGTCTGGATTGTCTTACGCAATTGAATTCATTCTCTTAGCAGGTGTGTGTGAGATTTAAAGGACTATATGCTATCTGGCCATAAAAAGTGTTCCTGAAAAAGGTGGATGTCCATTCGGCAGGAATTTTCTCTCCATTCATTCAGCAAGAATTTATTGTACATTTTACCCTGTGCCAAGCACTTACAATATGTAGATGAATAGGACATGGTGCCTGCAAGGAGCAAAAGAGTCTAGTAAACTTAAGGACAGCTACCAGAAGAAACCTATGTAGGGTATTAAATGGCCTTATGGTAATTAGCCAGGGAAGGAGGACGGTGAGCTGCATTCCAGCCAGAGGAAACAGCAAGGACAGAGGCACAAAAATAAGAAACAGTTTGGCAGTGAATGCATCATGTTACTGGAGTTTTGGAAAGGAGAAGCTTCAAGTAGGTAATCTCTTAAGAGACCTGTGATTCTCTGTCTGCTTCCACAGTGGTCATTTGCCCTGGGGCTTTTCTTGGACCTGTGCTGTATTTCCTGGTGAGTGTTTTAACAGGTTCCATTATGCATATTAAGTACTCATAGCTTCCTCTCTACTCCCCCTACTCCACTGCAACTGAGGGAGGTTCATTATCCCTTTAAGCTGGCAGGCACATGTTACCATTCCAGGTTATTAAGGACAATTAAGTTATAAAAATGCCCTATTAAGAGATCAGAAATACCATCTGGTTGAAATTCATTCTGTGGTAATACTTTTGCCACTCAGGGCTGCCTAATCTCTCTACTCTTGTAGTTTTCAGCTCCTCCAAGCCTCCCCAAAATGTGCTGCTTCACCATCTCTTCCTGTTTAGAAGGCCACTTTAGAACCTACATCTGTCTCATCCTACTCCCATGTTTAAGTGGTCAAAAACTATGATCTGTTAGACTTACTGAGTTCAAATTCCAGCACTTCCACTTACCGATTGTGTGATCTTGGGCAAACTAAACCCCTATTATTTCATTTTCTCATTTGTGAAATGGAAATACCAACCTAATGGAGTGCTTGTGAGAATTAATAAGGTGATAATGGTTAAAATACTTGAACTCAGTCCGTGGCATACACTTAAGCACTTGGTTCTTCTACATGAACTAAGTAAAATTAAGTGACATTTGTAATATTATTGTTTTCCTACTTGTCAGCTTTATTGCTCTATTTCATTTGAAATTGAAGGATGAAAGGTAAATGCTTACCATCATTTAGAACTGGGTTCTGGCCTTTAACAGAACCTGAGGCATAGCTAGGTTACTAGTTTTGGAAGCTGGCCTGTAAATTACTGCTCTAATTTATATTTTTCATTAAAAGCTCAGCTTGCCTCTTCTTATATAACAGTCTTCTCTGACCCTGAAACCCTGGTGTTGAGCCATAAAACCAGGTTATAAAATGAAGGGGCTATAATTCTCTCCTCACAATGTGTGGGTTAATGGGATTAATAAGAAGGTGCAAGAATATCATATTCTTACCCTTAACATAATAAAAGCAAAGGCTAGGCCCTATTTCTCACCTTTGAAACACAATTCAGGGAGGTACTGTGATGAAGTGTATTTGTGCATGTGTAGAACTTAACAAAAAAACACATTGGTTTGCGTGTCAGGAAATCCGAGTACTAGGCCCTTCTCTGCCACCAGGATGCTGTGATCTCTAATTAACACTCTGCACATTTGCTCTGTGCCTTGCAGGGTTGAGCATTAGGTAAGTAAGCGCCTGGCATCATGCCTGGCACCCAGAACCGCCCCAAAATGGTAGGTATAATGTAATAGCTCACTGAAAACTTAGCTCATTAGGATAATGAAAATAGGTTCGTGCGGAAGTGAGACAGGGCAACCACATCATTACACCGCCAGTCGAAAGAGGAACGTGGAAATACAGAGCTTCCTGCGACAAAAACTACATCTTCCTCCGCACTTTGCGGCGTGGCGGGTTCGCGCTACCCAGAGTCCCTCCCTCCGCAGCCGCGCGCCTTTCCGCGGAGGCCCCGGATGTGATGGCCGGACAGCTCAGTGGGCGTGGCCTCACTGTGGCTCTGTGGCCTAGCATTTTCTTATTGGTTGTGGACCGTTCGGCTGGATTGGACGCCAAAAAGGGGAAGTGCGCCAAGGCGCGCAGCGCTCCTGTGATAGCCAATCAGAAACCTGGCCGGGCTTTTGCGGAGGCGGGAAAACTGCAGCTCTGCAAATTTGGCGCGAGAGCGGCCTGGCTTGGCTTGGCTTGGCTACCTCCGTGTGTAAGTTTATTCTGGAGCTTGTCGTGGAGAGTCCCTGAAGCTGCGTCGTTGAGACGTGAGAAAGAGCCGGCAGTGTGGGAGCGCAGCCCTGTGAGGTGGTGAGGAGAGGGTTGCTCGGGGAGGCCTAGGGTCTGGGAGGCAGCGGGCTGTGTCTAGGCCTGGGGTTCCGATGTGGCCCTCGGGGAAGTGAGGGAAAAAGAGCTTAGTTCGCCAGAGCTCTAGGTCGGGGTACGGCAAGGGACATGTGTGCCCCCGGAGTAGTCAGTCTGGCAGTTGTGCATGGGGTAAAAGGGATGACTGATATAAGGAGGCGATGTTCCGGGAGGGTTTAAGAGTTGTGTAGAGCGGGGACTGAGCGCGGGGCGGAGGGAAGACTGAGCTGCACAGTGAGGGCTTGCGGAAGTGTAAATGTGGAAGGAAGGGAGGCTGCTGGCCTAAGCAGGTTATAAAGATATAGCCCGTGCATGGAGTGAAGGAATTAGTAGTTACTATAGGAACCCATTGAGATAAGCTTACTGCATCGCACAAATGGGTGCGAACTTGGGTTCTGGAGCCAGAATCCCTGCTTTGCTGTGACTGTAGGCTCCCTGCCTCTCAGTTTTCTCATCTGTAAGATAAGAAAAATAATAGTACCTACCTCTCTATGGTATCTGTATGGTATTTGTGATATTATGATATTATGATACCCGAAATGCTTATAATGGTGTTTTACACATAGTAGGTAGACAATAAGTGGGTATTATTGCATAGATTTGGAAGTGTAGCAGAACCAAATGTTAAAATATTGTTGTAACATATTTACTTATGAAATGGATGTTAATGATCTGTATAGATTCCATGTTGCTTATTTTTCCTTCACTTTAACATATTGACCGGCTGACCTGTTCTGTTTTTCATACCCAGTTGTGTTGCCATCATGCCTCAAACCCGATCCCAGTCACAGGCTACAATCACTTTTCCAAAAAAGAAGCTGTCTCGGAGATTGGACAAAGCTAAAAACTCCAGTGACACCAACCTAGAACTGACAAATGTGCAGGCCATACCCCATTCACCTTGTGTAAAAACACTGCCTCTCAGCCCTAGAAAACGGCTGGGTAAGCTATCCATTATATAAGTACAGCTTTTTGACTGGTAGCTCTCAACCTCTCTTTCCTTAGTAATAAGATGCCTTTTTATGTTATTACTGAGACAGCTTTTTATGTTAAGACCAGTTTATTCACTTTGGTTATTTTCAGAATGGTTGCTGTTCTTACTGAATTTCAGAGTTAAGCCACTTACTGAAATCATTCTGTGAACTGCTTAATAAGTCTGATCTTCAACTCCTGAATACTGACCCGGGTTTTGTCAGTGTTTTTTAAATGACCTTGTAGTCAGCAATATGGTATTTTGAAACTTGCCTCAGTAGTGGTGAAATTACTAGAAACAGGTGACATTCTTATTTTAGAACAGTGGTTGGTAATTCTTTCTTGTTTTAGATCATTTGTTTTTAATAAGGAGTGATTTGGCAGTATCTGGAGACATTTTTGGTTGTCACAACTGACTGGCATTGGTGGATAAAAACCAGGGGTGCTGCTATACATTCTACAGTGCACAGGACAACCCCGTACAATGAAGAATTGTTTGGTCCAAGATATCAGTGGTGCCAGGGTTGAGGAACCCTGTTTTAGAACAATTTTAGAATTTCATCCCAGTAAAACCCCTTTGGTTTCTACCAAATAGTAGTAAGATTCAGTGGTGCCATCTGGTGGTCAATATTTGCATCTCGCGGAGAAGCATTTTATTTTGGTGGTTTTGACTGAGGCTGAAATTCACCTCTTTGTAGGGCAGGCAGAGATCTTTGCAAGTCCTTTTATTATGCACTGCTTTGAATGACCACGTTCTGATTTTAATATATTTCAGGTGATGATAACCTATGCAACACTCCCTACTTACCACCCTGTTCTCCACCAAAGCAAGGCAAAAAAGAGAATGGTCCCCCTCACTCACATATACCTAAGGGGCGCAGATTGGTATTTGACAATCAGCTGACAGTCAAGTCTCCTGGCAAAAGAGAACAAGCCAGAGTTCATCAAAACAAAATACGTTCCTCAGTTCGAAAAGGTCAGGAGATAACAACAAATTCTGAGCAGAGATGTCTGCTGGAGAAAGAATCTGCATGTGTGAGACTATTCAAGCAAGAAGGTTTGTTCTTACATGGCAGCTGTTAGTGCAGCCTTGTAAACAAGGCTGGTGACTCCAAGTGAAATCCAGTGGGTCTTCTCAGTCACCTCTGTTGTATCTAATTGTCCTTTCATGTCTGGCACAGGCACTTGCTACCAGCAAGCAAAGCTCGTCCTCAATACAGCTGTTCCAGATCGGCTGCCTGCCAGGGAAAAGGAGATGGATGTCATCAGGAATTTCCTGAGGGAGCACATCTGTGGGAGAAAAGCTGGAAGTCTTTATCTTTCTGGTGCTCCTGGAACTGGAAAAACTGCCTGCTTAAGCCGAATTCTGCAAGACCTCAAGGTACATTGAGAGTCTGAATTATGATGTTTTTGCTAAAATGACACTTGGTTATTGAGGGTTAAGAAAGAGTAAAGTGCTTAGGGGATTGAAGTTTCCCCAAATAAGATGTTCTTAGTTCAGTTGTCTAAATCTTTTCAAGTGAAAGTAGAGCTTATTCTCTTTCATGCTGTTAACTTCTCAGTCACTTCAGGTACCATCAAGTCTTTATCTGTGGCCAAAATAACTCCTGTGTGCATTTTTTTTTAGAAGGAACTGAAAGGCTTTAAAACTACCATACTGAATTGCATGTCCTTGAGGAATGCCCAGGCTGTGTTCCCAGCTATTGCTCAGGAGATTTGTCAGGAAGGAGTATCCAGGCCAGCTGGAAAGGAGATGATGAGGAAACTGGAAAACCATATGACTGCAGAGAAGGGCCCCATGATGTAAGTATTGTTCTGCTGTGTGTTGCTCTATCACCATCTGCAGTCTGTTGTTCATAAACGCACAGTCTAGTCCCTTGAATCTATCTGTTTGCTCATAAAAAGAACATTTCCTATATTTGCCCTATGAGGGTAGTTGCATGAGCTTAAAGGGAAAGAAGAAAGGAAAAAACATACCTTCTAATTTTAAATTGGAAAAAATGTTTTTAAACTAATTGCTTGAAGAATCTATGTGTTACTTTTTTTGTGATGGTTAGGGGATATCATTGTAACAGTGACAAGATAGGACAGATGAAGATCTTCAGACTGGTCACAGCTGTAAGAATGTGACTAGAGATCAGCCCAGATCAAATATATTGGAGAGTTAAGAAAGTGAACGTGGATACTAATTGTTTCTCTTTATATATAGTGTGTTGGTGTTGGACGAGATGGATCAGCTGGACAGCAAAGGACAGGATGTATTGTACACACTGTTCGAATGGCCATGGCTAAGTAATTCTCGAGTGGTGCTGATCGGTTAGTGCTCAGTTGTTATTGCTACATGGTGGTTCTAAAGAATTCCTTTTTTAATTTCTTCAGTTTATTACCTATTATTTTATCTTAAACTAGCTTTCTGCTTTCTTACCAAAATAAGAAAGTTACTATAAAATGATAGTAATTTTAATCTTAGGCAAATCAGTTTTGCTAAGTCGGAATTGACATATCATAATACTGACTTCAGAGGCAATTAGTTTTTAGAGTACCTGGTCCTGCTTTTAGTGAGCAATTCTAAGCCTAAGTTGAAAACAGCATTGTATGATGACAAGCTGTACTTCACTTATTGAGTGTTGGGGTAGGGTTGGGGAGGCAGCCAGTGTGAAGCAACAGTTGGAATGCTGGATTATAACCGGAAATTTTATTCTGCTTTCAGAGGGTTGAGTTTTCCTTTGAGGATGATTTTGACCAGAGGTGATCAGTGTTATTTTATCTCCTCCTCAGGTATTGCTAATACCCTGGATCTCACAGACAGAATTCTGCCGAGGCTTCAAGCTAGAGAAAAATGTAAGCCACGGCTGTTGAACTTCCCACCTTATACCAAAAATCAGATAGCCACTATCTTGCAGGATCGTCTTAATCAGGTAAGTGCCAACCATTGCATCAATTACTGTTTTTTGGGTCACCTGTGTTGGGGAAACTCCATAGTTTTAAAATATTTTGCTTTGATTGCTTTGCTGTGGGCCATAGTGAGACTATTTGTATATGAATTTCCACCCATGGCTCCATTTATTGGATGGCTCAGTGTTGAAATAAAAATCAGAGTTACAACAGTCACTTAAGAGCTCCTTTAATGGCCTTTAAAAACAGGGCCTATGAGAAAACTATTTTGAAAATGGTCAAAGAGGTTTTGTTTTAGTTTAGAGTTTTGCTAACGTACTCTGATTGCTTTTTTTCCATTAATGAACCTCTACCACATTCCTAATAAATATTTAAATGTGTGAAATGACCATTTACTTATGAGCAGAAAAGGCATCTCTTAGACCCTAAAGGGTAGCCAATTAGTTTTATACTTAAGTGGGAAAATGCTTTTGTCTGGTACCTAAATTACAGAGGGAGAGTTTTATAGTTTGTACTGTCATCTTCTATATCTCATCTGAAGGTATCTAGAGATCAGGTTCTGGACAATGCTGCAATTCAGTTCTGTGCCCGAAAAATCTCTGCTGTTTCAGGAGATGTTCGCAAAGCACTAGATGTTTGCAGGTGAGTTATGGCACTGATGGCTGCTTTTATTAAAAAAGAAATGCTGTTAATTGTCTCATGTAACTCAAGTGAATGTGGCTTAAGAGGCTCCATTCTGCCACATTTTACGCACAGAAAGGAGGACTTGTTTCTCAGTGGGGAGCTCTGCATTTCCACCGTGTTAATGTCTGAAACATTATCAGTCCATTACCTACAGAGGGAGAAACAAATGAGATGTTGCCGGCACTCCCTGTGGTGATTATAGATTGGTTAATTACATTTGTATTAAAAAAGACTCCAGTTTACTTTTCCATTAGCTGGTCTCAAGCAGGTTTATTTATGGACCTGAACCATCTTTGCCTTCAAACTTTTTTTTTCTTCCTTTGCTTTTGTGAGCACCCCGTCCTCTCCTCCAGTTGGTGGTCCCACACAGTTGTACTCCAGACCTCTCTCTCCTTTCCCTTCCCCCTGCCCCTCCTGCTGGGGAAAGCCCCTGTGCTGACTGATGAAGTTTCTTTCTTCCCAGTAGGGACACTGGACCCATTAAAATGATACTTACTGTGCTGTCCCGCTGGTCCAACCTCCCCTTACTGCCATGCAGAAGATCCAGGCCTGGCTTATAGCTTCCTGTGGGCAAAGTACTTTGGAGAGAGCAGTGGGAGAGTAAGCTCTTCCTATTGCATGACGACATGATCCTGAATTTGAAAGTTTCCCCTAGTCAGCAAAGTATTTGGATAAAGACTGCAGCTGTGAGCAATAGTCTTGCAGGCTGGTTGGTGTACCTACACATATCCTATGCCACAGGGGTATATGGGTGGTGCTGGCTCTCTTTAGTCAGTCACCCACACTACATCTCCTCTCTCTCCTGTGACATTTTCTCCTCACCTAAAATGTTACTGTTGGCCAAATGTATGATGACCTACTTGGCAACTGTAAGAGGAAACCATGTAGTGTTGAAGTTTCTCAGATTCCCTGGTCCATGAATTATTTCAAGGCAATTAAGTCCCCTTTTGCTGAGACAACCCAGTTTTGTTTGGGGGCTTTAAAATGATAAAGCATGTTTTGCGTTAATGTGTCTGTTTTTGAGCTTCGTGGTTTGGTGTGGTGTTTGGTTTGGCTCAGCCTAAGTTAATTTTAGAATTTTTTTTTCTAGGAGAGCTATTGAAATTGTAGAGTCAGATGTCAAAAGCCAGACTATCCTCAAACCACTGTCTGAATGTAAGTAGTTTATCTCCTTCCTGTCTTCCTTTATAATTGGAAGCTGAACTTTTCAGAGGAAAGAGGTAGAAAGATGAAAAATGAACATAGTTAAATCCATACTCACCCATTTTTTATGTGTGTCTGTGTTTTTGGTCAATTTCATCTACTTTATTTCAATCTGGTCTGTCAGTACTATACATGCATTACTGGAAATGAGTTCTCTAGGCTGTTACATAAATGACTTAGTAAGCTTTCTTTCCAAACTCTAGGAATGAAAACTGTACACAATAAGGTTGGATGAGCTTCTCTCTGGGAGCTTATGTTGAGTGCACTTTAGGTTTTTCAATACAAGTAAAAGCAAAGCCTGGTAAATAAGAGACAGACAGTGAAAGAATTGAGTTCAGCTTGGGACATCTCAAGCCTTTAAACAAGTTCAGGAGGGTAGAGGTACAAAGATGCTATTGATTGCTACAGTAAACCGCAGCCTGTTTCAAAAATGACAAAATTAATTTTCTTTCCCTCAGCCTTGTTCTCTTAGCTATGGCAGAAGGAACATGGCCATGAACTACATATCTTGTCAGTGTTTAATATACAGTGTTAATCTATAGAAACAGTACCATCTGATTTGATTGTTTCTTCCTTCACTTCTGCAATGGTTGAGTTACTAAAATTGTTTCTAGCACTGTAGTTCCACAAAATACCTTCTCTTTTTTTCATCAACTTGCTGAAAGAAAATAAAAGTATTTCAGAATTAGCCAGACTTAGTGCTTAGGCTGATAGTAGGTAATACATGCCAAGGCATAGACTAGATACTGCTTACTCTTCAACTTCTCCCTTTTTATTCCCTGCCAGTGGCCCCTGTGAGCACCACTGGCACATGTGTTGCCAAAAGAGGTTGTAAATTCCTGGCATAAATTATTAGACTAACCTAATTCCTGTCTTTTGACCTCTGGTATGTATGATTAGTTTTAATGGCTTTAGAAAGCAATAGGGAGAATGACTTCAACTAAATATAAGAAGACACTTTTAATAAATAGCACTAACTAGGCGTGTTTGACATAGAATGGGTTTCCCAGCGTTAATGATATTCCAACAAAAACTATAGATGATCACTCGTTGGGATTATCTCACTGGACACTCAGCCATTGGGTAGAGAGCAAGACTAGACTTCTAAATTCCTTTCAACTTAAAAAAAATCTGCTTAATCAGTGATCTCTAGTTTCTCCACTGCTGTCAGTCCTCTGCAGCGTCCCCTTTGTGGTAATGAAATAGAAGCAAATTACTGGGAGGCAACTACACATCGTCTCAGGAGTGACATTAGGCAAAGGTTGTTAAAGAGCAAATCCCTCCACTGTCTAGCAATTCATGCATCTCCAAACAGTGAGGCCATAGTCCTGTGCAGCTTGTTGACAGTGTCCGAGCCTCCTGCTTCTGAGAGGGTGTTATCTGCTGAGACAGCCAATGACATTTTTCTCAAGTGTTGCTCTACTGTAGATCAGCTTGGGCTAGTGAGCCAAACCTCAAAGGTCAATTGGGGAGCTACTTGAGGACTTAGGTAGGATGACTCCACTGTCCACATTTAGCCACTCATTTGATTCAAAATACTAGGTAATTTATCCAACTTCTTTGTCCCCTTTTTTAATTGCCAGGCACAGTTATCTTTGCTTCAAGGTTCTATTCTTTACATTTGAGGTATTAGGAACTTCCAGGGCAGAATACAATAGTTCTCCATCTGGTCCTTATTCTTTCATGAGGTGGATTTTGTCTCTGACATTAAATTCTACAGGACATAATAGCTCACCATTGTGCCTAGGAAAAGGATAACCCTACTTTGCAAGTCATCTCATTATGTTGGCACCTTTCTGAGGATGGCATTGTCTCCCATCCTTTGGCTTCTAGAGAGTTGGAACCTCTGCTTTGCCGCCACATCACCTCATTTGAATTTCCTTTAGCTCAAACTTAGTATCATTTGTCCCAACACAAACAGTATTTTAAAAATCTGAGCTTGATTTGTTTACTCTATAGGTAGATCACCCTCCGAGTCACCGGTTCCCAAGCGGGTTGGTCTTATTCATGTATCCCAAGTCATTTCAGAAGTTGACGGTAACAGAATGACTTTGAGCCAACAAGGAGCCCACGATTCCTTCCCTCTTCAGCAGAAGATCTTGGTGTGCTCTCTGCTGCTCTTGACCAGACAGTTGAAAATGAAAGAGGTCATGCTGGGGAAGGTTAGTTGGGAATCTCAGCAGGTGGAGCTGGGGTGGAGACGAGAATCTGCTTTGCAGAGCAGATATTTTCCACAAGGTCTGTCATGCTCCAGCTGATATGAATCAAAAATGGACTTTTAACAGTAAGAATAAATACCATGTAAAAGGCAGCTGACTGTCCCTTTGGTTGTTTGGGAGTTTACCATTAATCTCCCCTTCATTTCAGCCTCTCCCTGTGAAATATATAAAGCCCCTTTCCTGCACTATGGTATAGGTTTTTGCCAATATCTACAGAATGCCTATTCAAGGATTGGATTGAAAAGAGGGAGTATTAGGGTGTTGAGATAACTTTTTCACCAATCCAGACTCACATGTGTTTTAAGAAATTGAAAGGTTACATGAGGTCTAACTTTTAAGCAACATTTGCTCTCCCTTATTTCCTCCCAGTTATATGAAGCCTATAGTAACGTCTGCCGCAAACAGCAGGTGGCAGCTGTGGACCAGTCTGAGTGTTTGTCACTTTCGGGGCTCCTAGAGGCCAGGGGCATTTTAGGATTAAAGAAAAACAAGGAGAGCCGCTTCACAAAGGTAACAACTGAACTGCTGCTTTGTGATGATTCTTTTAATTGTTCTGTTTTAGAGACCTTATGTTTTGCTAAAGTGAAGATTTTTAAATGACCACAGTTAGATAAACAGTTTGTTTCTAGTTAGGTATGGTTTAAGATCTGTGAGGATGGGCCTGTGGTATGAATGAGCTACTTTTTGCAGGCTCTTGAAGAAGCACTGGTGAGCTTGACTGACTCTTGTGAGAAAAGTTTAACATGGTAGAAGCTTATGTAATAAAAAGTTTGCTTTTGTGTGTCTTCACCATGAAAAGTCCTTTTCTCTTCTTTCCAGGTGTCTTTGAAGATAGAAGAGAAAGAAATAGAGCATGCTCTGAAAGACAGAGCTTTAGTTGGAAATATCTTAGCTACTGGACTGCCGTAGTCTTTTATACTACTACTCCACTTGAAAGTATCCGGCTGGCACTGAGAGACCTGTGAAGTTTTCATTTTAGAACTTCACACGTTCAGGTCTGGAAACAAATTTGACCTTTTTTACTTGAAACTGATCAATTTTAATCTATAGATTCATGAATATTAGGACAGAATAGTATCTTTGGGTCTTATTATTTTTCTGCATTAAAAATTCCAAATAGACCCTTTTAAAATATACTCACTACCTCTATCACTTGTGTGTCTCTAACCAATATGCTTGCAAGAATACACGTTTATGTTGTGGAATGTTTATACATTTACCTCTTATTTCCCTCCAACACTGATATATTAAAGAACTTTGGGGCTGGAGTAAGAAGAATGAAAAAGGTTGATCCAGAAAAATAAGCACGTCCACATGGAGATTTGGAGGACACTTTGATCAAAGAATTTCTTTATTTTTGGAGTACACTCTGTTCATGTTGCTGTTGCTCCCCTATTGTGGCATTTTAAAGACTGAGTTTCCTGAGCATTCCCAAGGTTGTGGGGGTCGTAAGGAGACTGTAACCTATAAATTATGAAATATTTTATTTTCACGTTGTATTCTTTGTCTTTTTAAGCTATCACATTTCAAGAGAGCCCAGACTTTCAGAAGGCAATGTGAAAAATGGCTCCTCAAGTGTCCCACAGTCTTAGCTGCCCTCAGATGAAGCCACTTGTTTCCAGATAGTTTGGGGTGGGATTTTCATCTAAACTTCATCTTTTCCCAGTCTTACTGGATTTATTAATCCATATGGTTACTCAAGTCTCCCCTTTTCTAGATTTAATTTCCAGTAGCATTAAATGACACGTTGTGACAGGGACACCAGAGGGCACCATTATAACACTGACTGCTTTGAAAGTGCAGGGATGAGGCTAGGGTAGTTTTTAGGAATAGTGGGGGGCAGGCATGAGTTTGATTCGTTTGGGAGATTGCTGTATTTTTATAACTAAAGCAAACATCTGAATGTAAACTGTGTGATATGAATGGTCTGAGGGCCAATGACCAAGTCTGCTTCCCCTTGAGCGCTTCTGCTCCCTCTGCCTGTCTGACATGGACTTGAGTTTGGGAACTTGATCTTTGTACAAATTATCTATTGGCCACTCTTTCATTCATGCTGCCTGCTATAGCCTTGCAATGTGATCTAGACTACAGCAGGTGGTATGGGACAGAAGAAGGGCACTCAGAGAGCCCTCTGAAATGAACACCACCCATTGGTGTGTGTAGCAGAGCATACATGGTCTGTTGACCGGAGTCTGAATGTCATTCTCACCCTCACACTCCTTTATGAGCGCATTCATTCCCTCTGAGGGCCATTTGCAAGTGGAGAACACAGTTCTGTACCTAGAAGCTAGGAGAGTGGCTGGGGCTATAAGGGTTAACAAGCATAATTGCAAAGATTGTCCGAAGGCTGATGGAAAGCAGAGACTGAATGGGATTGAGAACAGATGCGAGGCTTGATTTAAATTACATTTTATTGGATGCTGCAGCCTTAAGAGACGTGACTGCTTTACAGTTTGTTTCCACACTGTGGGCAGCTGCTGTCTGTTCTGTGTCCACAGTAGGATCCTGCCCAAAACGGACTGGCCTCTCCACCTCGTTGTTTGAGGCTTGGCGCCTTCCTCTGAACTGTAGGGATTGAGTCAGGAACATGGCTTTACTCGCAGTGGGGCTACTATGTATCCTCTATGGCTCTGAGCCAAAATCACATTTGCAGATTCAAAGGGGCCAAATTTCTTTCCCCTCTACCTCCTTTTGTTTTTCCCTGGTATCTGGAAGTAGGGTTTTCTGTGTACTGGTTTGTTTCCTTTCCTTCAGTTCTTCCCCCACTGTCAATTTCTAGGTCACCGCTGCTCTTAAAAGATTTCAGCAATTGGAACAGGGTTGGTTCTGTCAATGATGCGTGAAGCCGACTTAGAGTCCCTGGTTGCTTCCGCTGCCCTTGTGGGAGCAAAAGCTGATGTATGTTTGTCAGTGAAGTCGTAAGTGTAATTCAGACAGCCAGGGAGCAGATTGAAAGGAGGAAGAAAGTCTTTTTCTTGCTGGTGTTCTCACTGAAGCTGAGAGCTATGGGAAGGTGATGGGTTTTTAGAGCACTGGGATGGGGTTTTTAGAGCACTAGTTTTTGCCAGGATTATAGGCTGTTTCACACAATAGTGGCAAAGAGGCTGACCCACGTTCTTCCTCTTGAAGGTGGGCTGTCTATATCCTGGTTTGTTTATTTTTCTTCAGAGAAGCAGATTAAGCTTCCATAGAGTGTTGGTGGGCATTGCCATATAAAGAATATAATAGACAATAAAACTGGTATGAGTTTCAACCCCAGAACTGCCACTGACATTTCTGGCTTAATGAAGACTTGCCTGTAGCTGGATAACTGGCAGGAGTGTGTGAGGTCCAAGCAACCCAGAGATCAAACAAGTTGGCAGAGCTCTATCCTCTCTTCCCCCATTGCTCCCTGCCTTTATTAACTATCCTTTTAAGATATGTACACTAATAAGAACCGGAAAGTAGGAATGAGATAAGACTTGAGGAGTTTTAAAAATAATTTGTTGAGAGGTGTTACCTTGACTACTGAAGACCAAAAGAATGCCAAGAAAGACCTAGGTTTAATTTACATTGGTGTCTTTCCCCAGCACCAGTATCTGGTAGATACTCAAGAAGCAATTGCTGAGTGAACATATAAATATGCTAATAAGTAAGATGCTCCTTTCCCTCCAACTTGAGAGCAGTTCCAATCTGGAGGTAAACATTGCTAGTGCCTTTGCACTGAGGTGGAGCAGACCCCTGTAAAAGAGGGTGCTACAAGTGGAGCATTTATTGGCCTCAGAGATGCCTTCTAATCACTCCCTCTGATGTAGTGGTATTTTGCCTGAGGCAACTTCCATGTTGCTCCCAGGAAGCCAAGGCTGTGAGTCCTACTATGGGCTGGAAAGAGGGGTGCCTTTGGGGTATTATCTAGTGTCCCCAGAGACTGGCCAGAAGCTGTTCCTCTAGTTGGCAAGGGATTGGGGAGGAATCCACCTTTGATGTCCCACTTTAACTTGGGATGTCAGGTTCCTCCTGAAAAGGTGCCCCCTAAGACATTCTTTTTTTAAGCTACAAACACGGCAGGTACCCTGTTCTCAGGAGAGGTGCTTTCTGTAGGGGAAGAAGGTGTGCCCTCCGGCTTCCCCTTGATTTCCAACCCCAGGTCCAAGGCACTGGCAGAAGCTAATTGGGTGCAAGGAGCTTGGGTAAAGGCTGTCTGAAGACTGGCGAAAGGAGAGAGCCAGCGCCTTTTTAAAAAAGCTCTAATTGCGTTCTGAATCAGCCTGGCTGCCTTTGATCCCTCCTCTGTTTCCCACACTGCCTGGAAGCGCCAGATCAGCACTTTATAACAAGGGTGCGCCTGCTCCCCACACCCGCCCTCCGCTCCTGACGCTCTCTGCTGCCGCCATCCACTACTTGTCTCCTTCAGTTAAGATAATGAAGATGCTGAGAGATAAAATGTGTATTTAATAAGGGTGGGGGTAGGGAGGCGGAAGGGGGCAGCCAGGACCTTCCCTAGTTTGGGGCTTAGCCAAGGCTCAAGCTGAAAGCAAAGCTAGAGTAAGACTTGGCCCCAGGGTGTGGGGGTTTCTGGGCCTGGATCCAGCTGACTTCACTGCTGTTTGCCCTAAATTCCCCCACCTCCACCCTCTCCCCCACACTCCTTTCCTTCCTCTCCTTGCTCCCAGTGGGAAAAAGGAGTCTTGCTTCGACTTTATTTTCAGCTGGTAACTTGGCCTTTGGTGTGGTGCCCCCAGCCCCATAGTCAGCGGCAAGGTCAGGCTAGGGCAGCCCCCTCTAGCTAGGCCTGTAGAAGCTGCGGGTTCACAGCGGGGGGTGAAAAAAGCTGGAGTTAACGAAGACCAGCTGTTAGTCTGGGTTCTGCCTACAGTTAGCTGGAGGCCAGCCTTTGGTGGTGGTTATGAGGTACAGGGGTGCATGACCTCCGTCCCTGGGCACAAGGATATCCTGTGGCAGCTGAGGCTTGTGCTTCTCTCTGAGCTCGGTTTTATCCTTAGTTTGTAAGGGAGTAGTCTGTTTCGCTCTCCCCTTAGGCCTCCCCTCCCCAAATAACATTCAGCCCTATTGGGCTTTGTAACTGTAGTGGTGGCCCAGTTGAGATCTGAGGATGTCCAAGCTCTTTTGTAAACATTCATTAACTGCCTGGGAAGAACCAAGAGCCCTGGTTAATAGCTGGGAGAGAATTGAGGCACATTAGGGTGAAAGGGTTGACCTGAGCTCACCCCATGGACTCCACCCTGGGGCCCTCCATCCTTACCGTCTAGCTCTTTTCCCTGGTTCATCCTATAGGACAGAAAGACATGGAGGCAGTGCTGCTGTCCTCTCCCCTTCCAAGAAGAGGCCGTGCCTCCCTGCCCATAAGTCTGTCCCTGACTTGCCCTGGCCCTTTACCCCATGACATTTTCCCTGCTCTGCTGCTACCAGAGATACGTGCAACTCTCCTTGCAAAATGTTTTACCTCCAGCAACCCTGTGGACTTCTCATCCACCTTTCCCTGGCCCACCAAACCTGAGTTGTCCCTTTTGAGCTACTGAGAAGATAGGCTATCCTAAACTGGGTCTGTAACCTTGAAGTTGATCTAATTGTGTTAAGAGACCCCCTACCCCCTTGTATTTATGCCAAATGGTACCTGGTAAATAGTCTTTCCTAACTTATTCTGGTAGTTTCAGGATCCTATTAAGGGCTGGGTAGACTAATTGACCCCTAGGTTCCGCATCCTTTTCTTCCATTGACAATCTGCCATTTCTGGTGGTGGATGTAGCGCAGTCCCCTGGCCTCCACCTGCTCATACTTTCACCTTATATGTGTATCTGCACACCTCAACATACTCCCCTGTACATATGCCTCAATCTATTAAATGCCACTTTCCAACTGCCATGCAAGTCATACTGCCCTTAATACTTGCTGGAAACCAGGGTTTTTCCCAACCCTGGGGTGGTGTAGGTGGGGATGGGGAGCCCATGCTTTATCTATGACGGGGAGGGTAGACATGAGCACCCATGCAAGTGAATGTCCCCTTCCCCCAAATTCTCAGTAGTTAAGCAGCTTCGGAGTAGTAAGTCAAGGGCTTAACCAGGTCTTCAGCGCCAAAGCCTGAATCCGTCTGCTTCAGGCAGGCAGGAATGTCTTTCCTCCTGTCTCATCCTACCCTCAGCTAAAGTTATCCATGGTCTGTGTATTTGAAACGGGACTGTCCCTGTCCCCAACCTATGACTCACACCTTCGTCTTTGTCCCAGTGAGTTCTTTCTCCCCATCAGCCCTCAGTTCTGCACCCGATGACCCAGTCAGAGTTGGTGAAAGAGGGCGGGGATAGCCCACTGTGTGGGGTATGGGCTTTAGGACCCAACGGGAACCGGTGCCTTTTGCAGCAGCCTAACCCAGAAGCAGGGGGGAATCCTGAATCGAGCGAGCTGAGAGGGCTTCCCCGGTTCTCCTGGGAACCCCATCGCCCCCCTGCCAGCACGCACCTGAGCAGGTAAGACCATGCACACCCCTTCCCACTTCCCCTGCGGTCGCCTTCCACCAGGCTTCTCTGTTTCTGATCTGGTCGTTTCCTTCTGGCCAGTTCAGGCTTTCCCCATCCCTCCTCCCCCACTGCTCACTATAGTCCTGGGAGGGAGCCTGGGAACAGAGGGGTGTCTGAAAGCTCAGAGCCCTCGCACCTTCCAGCGCCCTGCCTGCACTTCTCGGAGGCATTCACTGCTCTCAAGCTGAGAATGGAAAGGGGGGAAGGTCTCCCCAGGCCCCATGCCCTTGCACCCTCCTTTGCAGTATTGCCTAACACCCCTTCCCCCACCTCACCTGGTTAGGAGAACTGGCAGTGCTGGGGTAATAGCAGAGGGAGCGGGAGGCGGACCTGAGCCTCTCTGGGGGATTTCTCTCTTCCTTTCTTCCTCCCAGGCCCAAGAGCTCAGGACTTCACCCACACACACCCCACACCCCCCACCTTGTCAGGGAACTAATTTCCCTTTCCAGGCTCATCTCACACTTGGGTGGCCAAAGGCTTTCCTGGAAGGTAGTAGAGGTCGAGAGTGGATTTTGGTGACCTTTTCCTCTGAGGAAAGTTCTTTCAGTGTGGAGCCCCCATCCCTGCTAATACCTCAACACCTACTGCAAAGAGCCCTCCACTCCCACCGTGCGTGTGTGTGTGTGTGTGTGTGTGTGTGTGTGTGTGTGTGTGTGTAGGCCATGTGGTTGTATGATCTATTAGCTTTGGATTGAGGTGGCTGTGTGCATTGAAGGGAGAGATCCCAGAGTACCGCCCAGGCCAGAACAGGCTTAGCCCAGATGGCTGGGGAAGGGGGTGTGGACCAGATCAGGGAGGCTGCTGAGCCATGCCAGCTCCCTGGGCTCCTTGGCTTTCAGGACCTCAGGCTCCTGGTGTTACCCTGAAGCTTCTGCCCTTCTGCATGCTCTCCTGGAGATGGCTGGATGCTACCTATTATTTACAGCAGCTTATTTTTCCCTTCAGTGGGGGCTGACAGGCCCTGTTTTCTGAAGATCTAGGTTTGAAGATCTTCTCATTCTGGTTTGGTGGGTTTGCAGGAGGGCTGTATGACTTGTCTGAGTAACTGTGTGT